TCCAGATCAGCTCACCTAGGCCATTGAAGCCGCTTGGGGAGTGAATCAACAGACAGAAGATCTTCCTCTCTGTCTCTTCTCATCTCTGCATATCTGACTTTCCAATTAATAAAAAAAAAAAAAAAAACGTTCCCTGCAAGAGACCCCAAGTCCTGCATCAAAATGCTTGGGGTTCCAGTCCTGGCTCTGGGTTCCCCATCCAGCCTAAGATTTAGACACTCACCCCACAGGAGGCCCAGCGCCAGCTGCTGCAGCCCTTTGGAAAGTGAATCAGCGCATGGGAGAGGGCTCTTTCTCACACACAATAAATAATAAATAAATAAATAGGTGTGGCCTGGCGCCTAAAGTCCTCGCCTTGAACACACCCAGGATCCCATATGGGCGCTGGTTCTAATCCCGGCAGCTCCACTTCCCATCCTGCTCCCTGCCTGTGGCCCGGGAAAGCATTCGAGGACAGCCCAAAGCCTTGGGACCCTGCACCCGCGTGGGAGACCCGGAAGAGGCTCCTGGCTTCGGATCGGCATAGTATCGGCCCGTTGCGCTCACTTGGGGAGTGAATCATCGGATGGAAGATCTTCCTCTCCGTCTCTCCTCTCTGTATATCTGCCTTTCCAATAAAAAAATAATAAAAATAAATCTTTAAAAAAAAATAAAATGACCCGATATTTACTTCCCCCGCCCTGATCTCATTTTGGTCTTCTCTGTAACTTCCCCCTCCCCCGTTTTATGGACCAAGACACTGGAGTGCATTGTAGGGACATCTACCCTGAGCTGGTGACATGGCCACCCTCTGCCCAAGTGAGCAGGTGGGTCCCTATGGAGAAGGGCCTGATGGCCAAGCAGGACAGGGGCCCTCCTGACCCCCGCCTTGGTAGAGGGGCTCTGTCAGCCTGGGCGCCCCAGGAAACCAGCGCCTGAGGTCCCCAGGCACTGTCTGCCGAATCCTGAGGTCACCCGACGCTGCCCCCACAAACACACACACCTATCCCCAATGCCACCGCACGGACAGCAAATCAGCTGCTGTCATCCCCCTGCTGGCCAGTTTGGTTTCAGGAAGCTGTCAAGTTGAAGGGGGAAGGTTCTGGAATCCCATCATGGCAGGCAAAAAGGCCAGGGAGGGCACACCCCCTCGCTTCCAACAGGAGCCTCCCAAGGGGCTGGCGTTGTGGTTCAACGGGGTCTGCAACGCCAATACCCCCACACGCGTGCTACTTTCGATCCAGCTCCCTGCACCTGGGCAGGCATCGGAAGATGTCCCAAACGCTTGGACCCGCTGCCGCCCGCGTGGGAGCCCGGATGCAGTCCCGGGCCCCTGACCTCTGACAGCCTTCTGGGGGAAGCAGCGGATGTAAGAGTTCCTTCTCCCCCTCTGTCCCTGGACCTTTGGCCTCCACACTGATCAATAACAGCAAAGCACACACGCACAGACAGGGGTTTGTCCCAGTTGCAGCAGGTCCAAGAGGCGGCTGGGGAAGGGGCTGCTCCCACAGTCACGCCTGCAGAGCAGCGTGGCAGTGCCAGCCACACGCGGCCCAGGACTCCTCCTCTCTATATCTGATTATCCAATTACAAAAAAAACCCAAAAAAAAAAAACAGCTGGGGCTGGAGCTGTAGTGTCGCTGATGAAGCTGCCGCCATCTGTAATGCTGGGATCCCACACTGGCCCCAGTCCAAATCCCGGCAGCCCCACTTCCCATCCAGCTCCCTGCTCGTGGCCTGGGAAAGCAGTGGAGGACGGCCCGAAGCCTTGGGACCCTGCACCCGTGTGGGAGACCTGGAACAAGTTCCTGGCTCCTGGCTTTGGAGCAGCCCATGCTGGTCATTATGACTATTTGGGGAGTGAAATACAAGATAGAATCTGTTTCAGAAGTGGAGCAGCAGGGACACAAACCAGTGCCCATGTGGGATGCCAGTGTGCCTGTAAGTGGAGGATTAGCCAGCTGAGCCATTTGTGCTGGCGCAGTATTTTTTTATTTTTATTTTTTTAAATATCTGCATGGGCACACATGATGTTTCAGTTACCTCATGCTGGTCAGTGGCACCAAACCCCTACAACTCAGATGCCTACAGGACTAAGGCAAACAGGGACACAGCGAGGGCCACCAAACATTGAAGCAACAACACCTTTTAGGATGGGCATCTGGGGTCACAGGCAGGGAGGGGGCACGTGTGGGGCTGTGGAGCAAGGGGTTCAGCTGCTGCCAGGATGCCTTCACCCCAAATTGGTGCCTGCTTCAGGGTCCAGCTTCCTGCTCACGCATTGCAGGAGGAGCACAGACGATGCTGTGAGTGTGTAGGGCCCCCGCCACCCACGTGCGAGAACCGGACGGAGTTGCTGGCTTCTGGCTTTGGGCTGGCCCAGCTCTGGCTGCTGGCAGCTTTTGCAGAGTGAACCAGCACATGGAATATTCTCTCTTTATCTCCTGCTTTTGTTTCTCTCTCTGTCATTGGAATATATAAAAATTTTTTAAAACAACGATGCCCTTTGAAATTCCCACACCACACACTGGAGGGCCTGGGGTAAGTCCCAGATCCAGTGCTGACTCGTTCCCAGCTAAGGTTCCAGCCTTGGAATCAGGAGGTGATGGACCCAGGGCCTGGGATTCTGGGGACGTGTGCCAGTGCATGCAGGTCTGGCAAACTAAATGAGTAACTTAAATATATATATATATAGGGCCCGGCGCGGTGGCACAAGTGGTTAAAGGTCCTCGCCTTGCACGCTCGGGATCCCATATGGGCGCAGGTTCTAATCCCAGCAGCCCCGCTTCCCTTCCAGCTCCCTGCCTGTGGCCTGGGAATGCAATCGAGGACGGCCCAAGGCTTTGGGACCCTGCACCCGCGTGGGAGACCCAGAAGAGGCTCCTGGCTTCGGATAGGCATAGTATCGGCCCGTTGCGCTCACTTGGGGAGTGAATCATCGGATGGAAGATCTTCCTCTCTGTCTCTCCTCTCTGTATATCCGCCTTTCCAATAAAAATGAAATAAAAATAAATCTTTAAAATATATATATATATATGTATGTATTTATTTTTATTGTGAAGGCAGATATACAGAGAAGAATCAGACCACTGGGTCACTCCCCATGTGGCCGCAACGGCTAGAGCTGAACCAATTCAAAGCCAGAAGCCAGGAGCTCCTTCCAGGTCTTCCACACGTGGGTGCAGGGTCCCAAGGCTTTGGGCCGTCCTCCACTGCTTTCCCAGGCCACAGGCAGGGAGCTGGATGGGAAGCGGGGCCGCTGGGATTAGAACCAGCGCCCATTTGGGATCCTGCTGCTTACAAGGCGAGGCTTAACCCATTGAACCATTGCACCATACCTAGTCATTTCTTTTAAAGATTTTTATTTACTTGTACTTGAAAGTCAGAGTTACAGAGAGAGAGGCAGAAATCTTCCATTTGCTAGATCACTTCCCAAATGGCCACAATAGCCAGAGCTGGACTGGTCCAAGAGTTTCCTCGAGGTCTCCTACATGGGTGCAGGGACCCAAGGACTCTAACCCTCCTCCCTGCTTTCCCAGGCTACTTGCAGGGAGCTGGATCTAAGTGGAGGCACCAGGACTCGAACTAGTATCCATAAGGGATACTGGTGCCCCAGGTGGAGGATCAGCTTGCTGTGTCACCATGCTGGCCCCAAGTAGTTTTTAAAATAAATAAATGATAAGGTTAAAAACTTTTTTTCAACTAAGGATCCAGGAGGTTCCACCTAAGGATACATGTCATTCTTTTTTTTTCCAACTCCCTTGGCAACAGACAGCTTAACTGTACCAACAAGAGCAGCAGTGGAAAAAACAGAGCGTTGGTCAGCAACCATCACCACGACCTGCTCCCCGCTGCCAGCCCCCAGCTCTCCACCAGCTCTGGAGAACAGAGAGGCCCTCCCCGAGCACTGGGTGACATCCCAGGCTGGCCAGGCTCACCCCCGGACAGGCCTGCAGCAGGAGGACCTGCCCCCACACCCTGTCCCTGAGGCTCTGCGGCTTCCCCCACCACAGCTCGCATCCACCCTGCCTGCCCCGTCCCTCTGGTGACCTGCTGAGGGAGACCGCCAGAGAGCCTGCAGGAGCCCAGCTGGGAGGACCACAGAGTGGTCTCTGGCCTGCTGAAGGCTGTGTGGGGGTGGACAGTGGAAGGTTGTGGGTGGTCTCCCTCCCAGGGGTGTGGTGGGGGTATGATGCCAGTTTATAATTGAAGGGTTTGCATTGCCGGAAAGCAGTGGTCATGCACCACCACCTGTTGAGGGATCTGGGGACCACCCTGGAGGCAGCAGGTAACAAACCAACCAGATGGTCGCCCCTTCCCAGCCATGCAGACAAACCAGATGGACACCCCTTCCCAACCACGCAGACCAACCTAACCCTAACCCGACCAGGCAGACAAACGCACGTGAGACCACCACCTCTGCTGCTACACCCCAAGCCAGCGGTGTCTCTTCCGTCAGCCCCTCCAGTGATGACCGGAGCTCCTGTGTCTTGTCACCCGAGTAAACCTGAACTTGGGCTCCTCTCTCCGCTGCCCGGGTGTCTGTGTCCAGGCCAGGACAGACTCCCTGGTGCCCACTGCCACTGGACACTCCACCTGAGCCAGATCCCTGGTACTGTCCCCCGCCCCTCTAACACACTCCAGGGCTCTGCACCTGCTCCCCTCTCCCAACCCACGAGTTGAGGGATGCAGGGCTCATAGCCCAGCCACCTCCCTGCCCACCACTGTGCAGGGGGAGGCCTCGGTGGGGGACCCCTGTGACCCAGCCAGGGGGACGGAGAGGAGCCGGGGGTCCCCCAAGTCCACTGGCCGGGCATGTCCAGGGTGTCACAGCCAGCTTGGGGCGGACGGACACATAGTGCTAGGACACACACACACACCCTCCTAGCACAACCCCACACACACACAGGGTCACAGGGGCCTCCCCACCCCGGAACCCGCGCGCGCACCCCGCCCCTCGCGCCGTTGCCCGGCAACGCGCGGCCCCGCCCCCGGGCGCCGGGGCGGGACTCGGTCGGTACCTTCCTCCAGTCGACGTGGCCGAGGCCTCCGCAGCACTCGGGCGCCGCCCCCAAGCCGCTCATGGGCTGCTCGCCCCCCGACACCCCGTTATCGCCGCCACCCGCGGGTCCCTGCGCCCCGTTACCGCCGCCTCGCTTCAGGAGGGAGCGCACGGGGGCCCTCCATCGCACCAGGGCAGCGCCGCCGGCCGGGGCTCTTTCCCGGCGGCTCGGACCGCCCCGCGGCCTGCTGGGAAGTGTAGTCCAAGCGCCCGTCCGCGTGGCCGCGCCTTCTGCGAGCTCGCGGCGGCGGCTCCGGACCTGACGGACTACATTTCCCAGGGCGACCTCGCGTCCCGGCTGCCCGGCGGCGTCCTCTCGGGCTCAGCCTCCGGCCTGCGACCCGCCCGCTCACCTGCACGGTGGCTGTGCTCCTCTGGCGGCGGCGGGCGGCCGTAGGTATAAGTAGCTTCCCGCGCAGCCCCCCGCCGGCCTGGACTTTGGACCCGCCGGGGTTTGCTTCATCCCCGGGGCGCTGGCGGGACCCCTCCTCCCGACGCGGAGGGGTGGGGGAAGTGCAGGGGCAGGCTTGTGGTCCGGCAGGTAGGACCCGCTGCCCCTGCTCATGCAGGAGGTGCATGGGTGGGGAAGGGCCTGCTGGGCGCCCTGCGCTGCCCCCAGCCCTGCAAGCACCAACCCCAAGAAGCAGCAGGTCGGGGTTCCCTGTCCGCCATGAGGAGGGGTCCCCAAGCCTGGAACCCAACGCGAGCGTTTGGGGGAACGAACTGCGGGCGGGAAACCTCAAGTGTCTGTGCCTTTCAAATAAATAATAATTTAGAAATTAAGTTTAGGGCCTGACAGACCACCACCACCAGGGCTTCTCCAAATCTCTCCCTCCCTCGGGGCTGGGGGTGGGATCCAGTCGGGGTCCTAGCTGCAGCCACCCCCGGCCGCCCCTCTGAGTGGCCCTGTCCTCTGCTGGTCCCGCGTCCGACTGCCTACCTGATCGCTTCCCTGGTGTACCAAGCCAAGAAAACCAAACAAAACCGAACTCTGCGCGTGTTTGCCTGAGCAGGGGCACAGCCAGGTCCACGACCGCCGTCCGAGGTCACCCCAGAACTGACGCAACAAATCCAAAGCAAACAGCTTCCCCAGAGCCCTGCTCCCTCGCATCTGAGCGTCCCGGACCCCACACTCCATGTGGCCAGCAAAGTGTCACACCCACAGGGAGACTCACTGCCTGCCCAGGGGGCTGCGCCACCCGGATCCCTCCCTGGTGGAGTTCCAGACAGAGAGCAAGATCTTCCATCCATTGGCTCACTCCCCAAGCGACTACGACAGCTAGAGCTGAACAAATCTGAAGCCAGGAGCCAGGAACTTCTTCCGGGTCTCCCACGCGGGTGCAGGGTCCCAAGCCTTTGGGCCATCCTCAACTGGGACATGAACCAGTGCCTATATGGGATCCCAGCATGTTCAAAGAAAGAGCTTTAGCTACTAGGCCACCGCGCCAGGCCCCCCGCATCTTAATTCTACTTTGCAAACTAGAGTTGTCCACAAGAACATGTCTACTTTCATGTGAGACAGACGAGGTTGCCGCCACCCCCATCCACTGTGGGTACAGCCCAGGCTGCAGTGGCCTTGGTGCAGGCAGGTTCTGTCCCCACCTACCCCTTCCATGTGCATAGGGCCCTCCTGCCCCAGCACCAGGCCCCTTCCTTCCCACTGGCCGCCCCCACTTTCCCATCCTGCTTCCCACGCAGTTCAGCCTGCTCCCTTGCTGTGGACTGAGTGGCCCCCTGGCGGGAAGTGCATTGTATGCACAGGAAGAGTTTTATCTGTTTGCTGATGGCTCTCACCCGCCCACCTGCCGGGACAACCCCCGAGGGAAAGCCCAGCAGTGCGGGCGGGTGGGCGTAAACAGTGGGCCTGGTGGGTAACCCTGCCACCTGGAGAGACCACGATCGGTACCCCCAACCCCCCTGCCGGGGTGTCTGCACCTCCCTTCTGGAGACTTGAGCCCCCTTCCTGGGCCCCTTCCTGCCTCTCTAATTATGTAAGAGGCAGACTTCCCGCGTGGACCCCACAGTTGGGGAGACAGGTCTAGCCCGTCGGGGTGGATTCCTGGAACCGAGCACCTCTCTGCTTCCCATTGTGGTAATGCAGGGGCATGCAAATGGTGGCCCAGGTGCTTGGGCCCCTGCCACCCACAAGGGAGACCCAGGTGGAGCTCCTGGCTCTGATTTGCCAATGGTTTGGGGAATGAAGCAACAGATGGAAGCTCTCTGCCTCACGCTGTGCTTCCAATAAAATCAACGAAACTCTCCATAAAACAGCAATAAACACTTGTTACAAAAAATGCACAAGACGGGCCCACTGCAATAGCTCAGTGGCTAAATCCTCGCCTTGCACTCACGCCACCAATTCGTGTCCCAGCTGCTCCGCTTCCCATCCACCTCCCTGCTGGTGGCCTGGGAAAAGCAGTCGAGGACGGCCCAAAGTCTGGGGACCCTGCACCCACAGGGAGGCCCAGAAAAGTCTCCTGGCTCCTGGCTTCGAATCGGCTTGGCTTTGGGCAGTGAAACAACAAATGGAAGACCACTCTGTTTCTCTCTAACTGGTTTCTGAGTAAAAATAAATTTCTAAAGAAAGAAAAAGGAGCAAGAGACGGTAAAAGTAAAAAGAGAGTTCATTTAGCGGAAGAGACATGTCCCTGGGGCTTCTCCAGGGTTTAGGGGAATGCAGGGGACAGAGCGAGCAGGAGCCCTCCCCCTGCGTCAGGGACAGCAGGTGCCCTGAAGGGGCCAAGGGTGCTGCACCCTTCACACGCGCCCTGGAGTGTGTGGTCACCGCGCCTACCAGGGCACTGGAGGGGCTGGATCTGTCCGGAACGGGAGGGGCCGCAGGAGCCAGTTACGTCACCGGCCTGGTGGGATTCCAGCCGACCAATGACACACCTGAACGGACATTCCTTACATAATTGGGGCACAGACTGTCCCTTTGCCAGCCCACGTGTCCAGAGGAGCATAAGACCCCTGGACACGTATCGCAGTTGCCCTTTTCGCCTCCATCTTCCTTCCACTCTGCGCGAAGGGGGCCCAGGAGCGGATTTTCCAATCAATGTGGACAGCCTGCTGGTATTATTCCACCAGTGGGTGGGCGGTCGGTGGGCATCATCCAACCATCACCTTGGTGGTTGCATCCGCTCGACTACAGAATGTTACATTCACCAGTGACAGTCACAACCAACTTTTACTGTAAATGAGAGGAGAAGCAACCGACGAGCTGGGAAGATGGAACAGGACCTTCCCAGGGTTCTCCAGGGACATTCCACAATAGCTTGACAAGGGGCAACTCACAATAGCCTGCCAGGGGAGGAGGAAATATCAGACATTCCCTACCTATCTCAGCTGCACAGCCGGTGCCTGCCTCTTCTCTGCTTCAGCGATTGAGGTAACCACCCATTTCATTACTCGGAGCCACCTGCGAGATCACCAGCCCCGGGCCTTGATTCAGGAGAGCTGGAGCCCATGGGTGCTAAAGGCCGTTCGGCCGGCGAGCCCACACAGTTTCTTAGTAGCAATGAGCCACGTTTCCTCCATCTTGGTTTTGGTTCTACATGGCGACAGAGGCGAAGGCTTGCCCTGAGCCTCCCTAGGCAAGCCACAGGACGGCACCTGTGACGGCACGTTCACGGCTGGCACTCGCCACCGCAGAGCCGGCGCCTGGGGCCTGACCCGCCTTCAAAGGACTGGAAGAGCCTGAGGTTCCTCCACACTGTGGGATCCGGCCAGAAAACAGTGCCAAAATCCCAACCATTTGCTCATGGCTCATTGCTGCTAAGAAACTATGCGAGCTTGCAGGCCTGCAGGAGTCCAGCTCCAGCTGAGTTCGGAACTCGCAAAGGGTGCGTAGATGAGGCGTAAAGAGGAAAGAAAGAGACGGACCACTAGGATTTCATGGTCATAATGGACAATGCGGGAAAGCTGTCTGCTTGATTTATACAAAATCAGTCAAACTCTGGCTCAGACTTTTTACGTCACGGTCAAGTTGGGAATTTCTAAGAATAATTCTGCCGTAGTTTTACCTAGAAACAATAGAAGTTCCTGCTACAATTCTTATCCTACAACTCAATCTTGTATCACAAAGAAAAGGAGAACTTAAAGGTCAAGGAAAGAATGAAAGCCTAAATACAGGTCCCTTGATTAGCAGAGGTTCAATGGGGACAGCCAAGACAGTAGGAATAATAAAGGGCCCTTTTGCAAGACACCTCCAAGCTCAGGCTGAGCAAAAGGCCAGCCTCACAGTAGCAAACAAATGCCAGGATGGATTAGAATTCCCCGGCAGGGTGGTCCGGTGTCCATGCAAAAGGTGGAGTTGCCTTCAGGTGGTTGTAGAGACATCCGCCGGGCGGGCCCTGCCAAACAGCGGGAAGTTCCCTGCGGCCCTGCCTGCAATGGAACAACACTCTTCACCCCCTCAGGTCCCCCACATCTACTGCACGGACCCCAACACAGGCCAAACGGCCTATGTGACCTTTGGCACTGATGGGGCCCAACTCTTATGAATCAAGGCCCACCTAAGTCACAGGTGGCTCCTAGTAAGTGAGTGGGTGCTTCCCTTAGTTGCTGGAGGTGTGGGCTGGCCGGGCAGCTAGGTAGGGAATGTATGCTATTTCCCCTCACTTCGCAGACTACTGTGAACTGCCGTTTCTCAAGCTATTGTAGCCTGTCCCTACAAACCCTATGAATGTGCTGTTCGGGGCCACACTCCTGGGAAGGGGTGTTGACACGTCCGGGCCGGCTGGCCGGTTGGTCAGCCAGCTGTCTGCTCTCAATCAAGAGCCCAGGTTCAGATGTGCTGAGCTTGAATAAACCATCCTTGTGCACTTGGATCGACTTCTGATTCCTGGCGATTTCTGCGGATCTCAAAATCTAGGCACAGCAACAGGAGGGCTGGGCAAAACGGTTATGCGTGAATGTTTGGGGTGTGAACCAGCAGATCAAAGATTCTATCACTTTCAAATAAAGCTTTTTTTAAAAAAAAGATGTATTTATTTGTATTGGAAAGTCAAACATATAGACAAGATGAGAGACAGAGAGGAAGATCTTTCATCTGATGATTCACTCCGCAAGTGACCACAACGGCCAGTGCTGCACCAATCTGAAG